CCCCTCCCCCCTCCTCCCTCCTTCCTCCTTCCTTCCTTCCTTCCTCCTTCCTTCCTTCCTTCCTTCCTCCTTCCTCCTTCCTTCCTTCCTCATTCCTCCCTTCCCCCTCTTTCTTACTTCCTGCTAAGGATGGAACTCAAGGTCTTATGCAAGCTCTGTACCGCTGAGCTCCATCTTCCACCATCCTTGTTAATTTGCCTCCCAGCATCTATCATACTTTGAGAGAGAGGTACCATGGATGAGTTTCCCCCTTCATCTCTGCAAGTTTCCGCTCCATACACTCTGAAGTTCTTGTCAGTGCATTCATGTGAGGACCAGTCTGTCTTCCTGGTAGTTTGGTCCTCTTGCAATGTGCCCTTCTCTCTGGGATGCTGTGGTCATGTCCATCACAGAACAGGGACTGCGGGATGATTCAGGTTGTGTTCTGTCTTCGTGTTGCTTACTCCTCCATTTCCTGAGGTTCTGTTGCTGAGGCTACCCACTAGATTTTTTTTTTTTAATCAGCTACTGGGTTGGGGGAGGGGGTGGCCTGAAGCATCTGTCTGGCTCTTTTTTGTATCCACTCTTTCTGTGCCGGGACTTAGCATGTTTCCAGTCCTTTCTAGCTTGTCCAAGAAATCCTGTGTTGGATGCATCTGATGTCTTTGCCATGGTTGGTACTGGCATCCATGGTCAACTACTTTTCACTCCTGGGGTACTTTGTATAATTAATGGCATTTGTGGACCTGGGCATTTTGAATATTGACCTTAGATCTCCCTTAAGAGTTTTGCTTTGGGGTGGCTTCCCTATAACGCTTATATAGCAGAGGTCAGGGCAGGCACCTCCCTGTTTCTGACCAACTTGGGTCAAAGAACACTTTGTCATTCTGTCTCTGCTAACTCTGAAGGATACACTATGTAGTCCAGGCTAGCCTCAAACTTGCAGTGCTCCACCTGCCTTAGCCTTCTGGCATCACAAGTGTGTGCCTCTGTGACTAGCACATTGCTGTGAGATGATAAGGGTGGTTCCTCCTCCCAACTCTTTCTTCTTACATTGATACCATTCTGGGATGTGGGTACCAGGGGTGACCTCATGCTGCTGGGGTATGGTGGACTCTTGGGCTCCCTTGGCTGCATGATTCATGCCTACACGGAGAGAGGGTGGCTGCTTCCTGGCAACTTTTGGGAAAAGGAAGCCGGACCTTTGCTGTAGGCACAATAGTCTCTGCAGTATATGACTCCAGCAGCAGAGCCATTGTCTGACGACTTTCTGTCTTTGGGAGCTGCATGGTGCCCGGTCCTTTAGCTGGAGGAATGGGCTTTTGTGTGGAAAGTGGTATTGTCTGGGTGCCTTGGTATTCCTAGGTTATTTCTTCCATTCTAAGATGTAAGATACAAAGTCAAGGGGGGCGTCCTGCTGTGTCTTTGTTCCTACTCTGAGTTTTCAGAAGCAATTCCATTTAGTTGTTTTTATTTGCTTTATTCTTTGAGCCCAAGCTCCCCCTTTTTTTTTGGTGGGAGGGAGACAGGGTCTCATGCATCTCAGGTTGGCCTCAACATCACTATGTAGCCGAGATGACCTTGAAATTCTGATCTTTCTGTCTTTCTCACTCCTTCTGCAGTATGGGGATGGATTACAGGCAGGGATTACCACACCTGGCTTCAGTGGTGCCAGGATCAGACCCAGGCTTTGTACATGTTAGGGGAGCACTTTGTTATGATAAAGCTTGAGGGGACCTTACATGGGGGACCTTGGCGAGGGTAACTGAGGTGGAGGGACAAACATGCCAGTCAGACAGAGCTTAAGTGAGAAATTTTATTAGAAAGGGGAGGGAAGGGGAAGGAAAGAGAAAAGAGGTAAAGAGACACAGAGACACAGAGAGGACAGAAGAGAAGAGGGAGACAGGAAAAGTCTTGTCTGCCCCTGGGGAACCTTGGAGAAGAGAGCGGGAAAGAGCCAGGAAAGAGAGGAGTGGGAAAGAGAGGAGCAGGAAAGAGAGCAGAAGTGGGCAGGGGTGGGGGTCTTTCTTTTAAAGGAGTCCTTTGCACCTTCGTGCAGATTATGCACTAATGGAATCCTGGGCTGACCAGGGTATTGCCTGAGTGCATTCTGGCAGGTGACAGGGGCAGGCCAGCATAATGTCTGAGTTCTTATACCCTCTACTGACTGAGCTACACCTCAGCTCCTAAGCCTCTGTGGTTTCTCTAGAGAGAGGTCCTTTTCACAGGAAGAGAAATTCTGTGCACAGGTGGAGGATGGACTGTCTTACCCCCTGGCCCCTGTCTTAGGGAAGGCAATCAAATCATCCCTCAGCACAGTTTGACGTGATCCTCAGTGTGTCTATGAGACTGAGCTCTAAGCAAGTAGGCCCTGTGCTCTTTCTGCATTGCCGGATGCCCAGGGCCTACACCACACCGTTCCTGGCACAGAACAATAAACGTGTAAATATTGGTTGAATAAAGTTGCTTAATTCTCCTGCCCAGCTTCTCACCTGTCACATCTAAAATTGGCTAGAGGGAAAGAAGCAAACGAGGTTGTGTTTGGAAATGAGGGAGACAATAAGACGCAGCTGAAGTATTTAGCACGCTGCTCAGCTTACAGTCGGCCAGACAAACATGCTGCCGTCACTTCAGTGTGAGCACTTGTGGTCCATGCTCACACAAATTCTGTTAGCTGGATAATGAGTTCAAAGAGTCGCGAGTGTTTGCCATTGGCAGGGCAACTGGTGAGTTGGTTCTGTTAACTCCTAACTCTGTGTCTCTCGGTCATGTTTTCCCTGACAGGTCCTGCAGCTGGGCTCGGACATTCTTCCCCAGTACAAGCAGGAGGCGCCAAAGACCCCGCCTCACATTATCTTGCACTACTGTGTCTTTAAGACCACGTGGGATTGGATCATCTTGATCTTGACCTTCTACACAGCCATCCTGGTCCCTTACAACGTCTCCTTTAAAACCAGGCAGAATAACGTGGCCTGGCTGGTGGTGGACAGCATCGTGGATGTCATCTTTTTAGTGGACATTGTTCTGAATTTTCATACCACCTTTGTCGGGCCAGCGGGGGAGGTGATCTCTGACCCCAAACTTATCCGCATGAACTACCTGAAGACTTGGTTTGTGATCGACCTCCTGTCCTGTTTGCCGTATGACGTCATCAACGCTTTTGAGAACGTGGATGAGGTTAGTGCCTTTATGGGTGATCCAGGGAAGATTGGTTTTGCTGATGAGATTCCGCCACCACTGGAGGGGAGAGAGAGTCAGGTACATCCCTCAAATCTTGGACCTTGTTGTCATGTCTTTAAAGCTGAATGAAATGCGGGCGGTCAGCACAAGAGTCACCGAGTGGGTGGGAGGCAGCATGAGTGATGACCACAGCAGAGGGAGCATGTGCTGTGGGTATCCTGCCTGCCGCTCCTGTCCTTTGGAGGCCCAGAGCTCCTGCATGTCTGTGAGGGCGTGCGGAAGAGACCAAAGGCTCACTCTTCCTCCGTGTGGAGTGCAGCTGCTGGCTCAGGGAGGGGAGGTGACAGAAGCAGCCATGCATGGCCACTGCACCAGGGAGGCTTCCCTTTGGCACTCAGCTGTTGGATATTGTGAGGCTGGGGCCTTGTCTGTATCTGTCCCGATGCTGGCTGTTTCACGGGCTATTAACTGGTGGTAACCGATGCAATTTCTCTCATTCTGCTTTCTGGGTGAATGGTGCAGTGAGTTTGGAGGTGACTGCTTGTTGGGCTACTTAGGTACATCTGGGGTGGAGTGCCGTGGTTGTGGGGTCTGCTGCCTTGGGTTCTTAGTCTTGTAAATGCTCTGCAACTGTTCTGGGAATGGGTGTCTGTGGCAGGAAGGAGCCCCTGGGCTGGTTAGGAGCAGACGTCTCCTTTTAAAAAGCAGGATGACAAGTCACTTCGAGAGGCGCAGATTCCTTTGCCACTGGTGTTGGTGGGAAGGTCTCCCCCATTTTGGATTAAGATAAGGTGGCTTGCTTGATAAGCCAGCATGTTCAGCACTGGGATTATATTGTCTCAGATCACAGAGGGTCAGGAGGATTAACTGCGGGCATCGAGGCAGCCATCTGGAGGCTGAGCTGAGGCATGGCACACCCTCTGGGGAAAAGGGCAGCCAAGGAAGGAAGAATCTACTCCCATCCGTGGTAGGAAGCCCTGGTTGGTGGCATCGCTGTGCCTTCACTTCAGCATCAGCAGTTGCTGAGACACCCATCACTTCCTGTAGGGAAACCAAGACGGCCGTGTTTCTCTCCAGTCGAGGGGTTAGTTTTGCTACCTGATGCTGCCACCGTTAGAGTGTGGAGGACACAGCTTGTTGCACACACACACCCTAGATCCTGAACAGCCTCTGCTTTGTTGGAGTGCTATGTTGTAAAATACTATTTATTGTTGAGACAGGGTCTTGTGTAGTTAGCCTGGTATCTGTAATATAGCCAGCTGGCTTTAAACTTGTAATCCTCCTGCCTCAGCCTCCTCAGTGCTGGTATTACAGGTGTGTGCAAGCATTTCAAGGACTAATTCCTGGGTAGCTTCTGAGTTTTGCAAGGAGATTAAATGAGTCTGGACAAGCCATCTGCAAGCTCAGAATCATCTCTGAAGGGGATGTTGGCATTCTTCAATGTGAGCTGCAGAGTGCATTGGGAGGTATTTTCCTCTGTGAATGCATCTTCAAAAACTTTTATGTCATTGGCTCTGATAATTCAAATGAATTATTATAATCTAAAAGAGAATTTCATATACACATGGGAAATAAAATTTTTATTACAATAAACATTTGAGGGACCAAGAGAGCTCAGTGAGTAGAGTGTGTGTGAAAGCAAGAGGACCTGAGTTCAAATCCTAGTACATAGGTAAAAAAGAAAAAAACAAGGTATACCTGCATGTCTGTAGCCCCATTGCTGGGAGATGGCTGGCCAGACAGCCTAGCTGGAACTGAGCTTTGGTTTCAGTGAGAGACCCTGTCTCTAAAAATAAGGTGGAGAGTGATAGAGTAAGACACCAGATGTCTTCTTCTAGCTTCTGTGTACTGTGCACACCTGTGTACATTCACACACACATGTATACATCATACTCCCATGTATACACACAAATACATACCATACACACACCGTACACATATGTCCACATATATACACAAGACACTTACATATGTGTACCATACACACTGTACACACATGCCCACACACATACACAAACACACATGCCATAAACACATGTACACACATACCTATATGCCATATACACACCATATCTACATGTCCACACACATATACACACATATACAATACACACACCATACACCCATGTACACACACACACACACATATATCATACATACACACATATACATACACACACGCATATAAACACACACACACACACACACACACTCATACAGCCACTTAGGTTAGTAAAATAAGCCATGTGCTATTTATAGCAGTGGTACTGGAATTTTGCAGCTAAACAGAACAGGTCTTCAGCTTCCTTGGGTTCACATTAGGATCTGGCAGAGCTACAAACATGTATAAAAGTGTGTCTCCACAACCTATAGGCTGACAGGACAGAGAGTTTGTCCTCAGGCTCTGTGTGTGCTGGGTTGGAAAGTCTTTAGTTTTGAGTACCCAGTGATGGGCTCTGACTTCTGGTTTTGTGGGATGGATTGGTAATGGGAAAGGTGTCTGTTATCTACAGGCTTTGTGCCGGCAAAGGGCTTGGAACCGGCGGTCTTACCACCTCATGATCATAAGTAGTAGGAGTTCCTGGATTAAGTTTTAAAGTTTTGGGTGACTGCTGAAAGTGTGCCTTCCATACCAATTGTGATTCGAGGAACCTGGGGGCTGGATCCCAGGTCCTCCTGGTGCCACTGTGGTCACAGCTGCAGCCTGGTCCCTGTCACTCTGAGTTCCCTGCCAGCTCCAATCTCACATTTGCTGGGCTCTAAGTCTGTTCTGCATTGGCCTTACCCCTGTCCCCCACCCCCCACAGCCCTTTGTAAAGACAAGAGGCCTTGCCTCTGCCCTTTGACCCACAGTGCCATGGGAGGAAAGGGATGGAGGCGGGACATTTAGCAGATGATGAATGGAGGTTACACATATGACCTTTGAGCTCATGGGTAAGAAGGCAGGCACGGGGCTGGGGTGGGGTGGGACGGGGACCTGTCCCACCCATGATCTCGTCACCTGCTCACAGGACTACTGGAGCCCCTCCTGCTCTTTCTCCATCCCTCCCGGTGATAGGGCCGATGAAGAAGGAGCACACCACACTGACTTCTCATGTGTGTGGACACTGCATGGCTTGTGAAATAGGGGGAGAAGCTGGATATTGGGTACAGTGGGCTTGGTGGTGGGGAGGAAGCAGCTATGATGTTGGTCTGGTACCCAGTGAGGGGCAGACCCCATTGGTCCCCAGGGCCTCCCTTTTGGGGAAAGCTACCACTAACATAGCAGGAGGGAAGGGCTGGACCAGTGGCAGGTGGAGGAGGTTGGGAGGCCATGAGGGGCATCCCTCCACTTTCCCCAAGACTGGGTAAGTGAAGTCCCTTGAGGTAGTGTTCTGATTAATGGTTTGGTGGCTCAAACTCCATACCTGCTCAGACCTCACCTTTGGCTGACGCTGTAGCGTTCCTGACCTAAGACTGTAGTCACCCTCTGGTCTAGATTCTTACTCAGGGAGAGTGTAGGGAGATGAGGAAACTACTGACTTGTTTGCCATTTAAAAAAGTACATGGAGTTTAATTAATTCTCCCTGGTGACGTCTCAGTTATGCAGCAGGCTGTGTACCAGTGGAGACCACCAAAGAGGAGGAGACAAGATGGCAGTGCTCTGTGTGTGTGGTGGTGGCAGCGAGTCTTGAAGAGACAAGATTGGACCCAGCTCAGGTCTGGCTCAGGAAAGAACTGGATGGAATTGCTAGTGCCTGTGGTCTTGGGTCTGGCTTGTGGATATCACCCTCTTGGTGGTTTGAGCTGAAAAATGACCCCTTTTGTTTCAACTTGCTTCGCTTATGTAGATGGCCTCCATTTGCGTCATTCTCCGTCTGTGGGTGATCATCCTCTCTGGAGGCTGCTTGGGAATATGTCTGCACATTAGTTCAGTGGGTCAGAGGACAGAAGATCTGGAGCCTGGGTGAGCAGACGCTTGGAAAGGGTGTGTGGGAGCCCTTGGCAGAGTGTTGACCTGGCATCCTTCCTGGATTACACAGGGGGTGGGGAGGGGGGTGAGGGATGAGGCTCTCCCTCTCCTAAGGAAACCTTGATGCTTGTTGCTTTTGCAGCCTGGATGTGCAGAGGGGTGAAAGGGGAAGGTCACTGTTTGGGTGTGCTGGCCAGAGGTGTCACCTCCCTTCTTGGCTGAGTAATATAGAGCAGCCCAACCAGCGGTTGCCAGGCTGATAGTCACCAAGAGCCAGGCATGCTGATGGTGGCAGCTTCTCTTCACTTTCTAAGGGCCCTAAGTTCTTTGCCCTGTGGGGGGTAAAGATGTGGGCGGAGGGTGACTTTCTACCTGGTCCTATCACTCTGCCTCCTTGGACTTGGTCTACCCCACCCTGCAAAGCAGGTGCTGTCCCTGTCTTGTAAGTAGGGGGAGAGGCAGTCTGTCCTTGTCTGGTGCCTGCTGCCCTGAGGCAATAACCTGTCCTTTGGGCTCCCCCAGGTGATAAGGCTGCCTGTGGGCTCCCCCAGGTGATAAGGCTGGCCTGTGGGCTCTTGCTGCTCCTCAGCCTGTGTTTTCTCATGCTGCCTTGCTGGAGGGTCTGGAGGCCAGGAAGACCATGTTTTAGTCCCTAGATCCTTGTTACCTTGTCACTGCAAATCACTGCTGCCTGAAAACCACACTGGGTCAGCTTTCTGCGGTTAAAGATGCTGGCTACAGCCTGGTGTGATGGTACAGGCCTAAGGCAGGGGATAGTGAGTTCAAGGCAAGCTTGGATACACAGTAAAACCTTGCAAAAAAAAAAAAAAAACAAAACATCAATCAAAACAAAAAACCAAAATAAGTATGACTTTGTGGTGAAGATCTCCAATCTCAGCTACTCAGGAGGCTGGAGCAGAAAGACAGTGAGTTGGAGACAGTGTAGCCTAGGCTATATAGTGAGACCCCTCCCCCCGTCAGCCTCACCCCTTCCCTTCTCCTCAACATCAAGGACAGATTAACCCTCCACTCTCCATCTTCTTAT